CTGCAAAAGTTCTATATGTGTATCGTCTTCAGAATTTTCTGTACTTTCTCAATACCGACCGACTGTTTATGTGAAACGCCTGATTTCTGATTTGAAGTAACTGGTAGTATTAGTAAGCAACTTCTGGAATCTCTTGATAACAAAATGAGGAAGAAGTAACTGATAATATTAGTAGGCAACTTCTGGAATCTCTTGGTAACAAAATGAGGAAGAGACCGTGGTTCTTGTAAAACTTGATATTGATTGTACATTGTAACTTTTGCCTCTGATATGTCTGTTGTGGTTGCTGCTTGTTTCCTGTGTACTATATATGAAAAAAATGTGTTATCCTTTTCTGAACTGCTTCTATGGCTTTGCTCTCTTTTTATATCTTTGTATTGCCAGCAAATGATGGTGCAACAATCTTGGAGCAAATGGATGTTGATAATCAGATTGCAAAGCTGATGGTTGAACTATCACGGAGTCAGGATTATGAAATTGGTGACGGAACAACTGGTGTTGTTGTCATGGCTGGTGCACTTTTGGAGCAGGCTGAAAGATTGTTAGAACGGGGGATCCATCCCATTCGGGTTGCAGAGGGCTATGAAATGGCTTCTAGAATAGCCGTTGAACATTTGGAGCGTATAGCTCAGAAGTTTGATTTTTCAGTGACAAATATAGAGCCCTTGGTTCAAACTTGCATGACCACTTTATCCTCAAAGATGTCAGTTTTCTTGCACTGAGCTTTAACTTCATATCCATGTCGTCTTTATCTTATGTTTTGAATTATTTAATGACATGTTCTAAATAAAGCTATGCCCATTTTTTAATCTGATGGTAATATTGGTCATAGTGTTTTGCTAAATTTCATGTTCCATAGGAGTGATTGTGGTCCCTTAAAGCCCTGGAGCATGTTTTTCAGAGGCTGTTTGAGCCTTTGCATGATTTACTATTTTACTGATATGCTTACATCATTCTGTAATTTAATCTTTATGTTGCAGTGTGAATAGGTGCAAACACAATTTAGCTGAGATTGCTGTGAAAGCAGTTCTTGCTGTTGCAGATTTGGAAAGGAAAGATGTTAATCTAGATTTAATTAAAGTGGAGGGAAAAGTAGGTGGAAAGTTGGAAGATACAGAACTAATTTATGGAATTGTTGTTGACAAGGATATTAGTCATCCGCAGATGCCAAAGCAAATTGAAGATGCCAAAATTGCTATATTGACATGCCCTTTTGAGCCACCCAAGCCAAAAACTAAACATAAGGTGGATATTGATACAGTTGAGAAGTTCCAGACTTTACGTCAGCAAGAGCAAAAGTATTTTGATGACATGGTCCAAAAATGCAAGGTCAATCTCTACTTTAAAATATTGCAGATTCTAAAGCGTTTTGCTTATACTATCTCGAAGATTTAAAAGTTATTTTTCTTCATTCATTTCTAACAGTGTTGGAGGAGATTTTAGTAAATTCCCAAACCAAATTCTCAAAAAAAAGAAGAGTTATATTGGGGCAAGGGATCTTGAATGTTGGATACCATTTGGATTTTTAGTGAATTTTTTGTTTTTGATCTTTTTTTATGTTCACAATTGTTACTATTTTGGTTTGTAGGATGTGGGTGCTACCTTGGTTATCTGCCAGTGGGGGTTTGATGATGAGGCAAATCATTTATTAATGCACAGAAACTTGCCTGCTGTCAGATGGGTTGGTGGCGTAGAGATGGAACTAATAGCAATAGCCACAGGTCTGCACATTTTTATATTACTAAAATGCTGTCATTACATACACATTTGGTGGGTTGTGTTTAGGTTGTTGCTGCTAACTTGAATTTGTATTTTTAATTAATGAAGTAATTGCATCTGTCTTTCAAGGTGGAAGAATTGTGCCAAGGTTCCAGGAGTTGACACCAGAGAAGCTGGGCAAGGTATATGCTGTTAATTTCCTGTCTGTCTTTATCTTCTTTTTTTCTCAAAATTTACATTATGTCATTTACATGTTTGCCTTATCTTAATTTGTCTAATGAAAGGGAGTACTATTAGTGACAATGATATGACTCCATGGAAGAGGCATTTAGAAATAAATTGCATTCAACTAAGTAACTGCAATTTGCATTATAAATAACTTCACTAGTTCTCTTTGGTGTCTTCTAATCTAAAAGTCTACTAACACTCTAAGTTATGTTCTCATATAGCTTCCGGATGGAAAAATAACACTGCAGTTCCAATTTCTTATTCTCTTTCTAGGCTGGCTTGGTCCGAGAAAAGTCTTTTGGTACAACAAAAGATCGTATGATATACATTGAGCATTGTGCAAATTCAAGGGCTGTCACCATATTTATTCGTGGAGGTAGATTTGTATTTTTCTTGCCACTGTTATTGCCCTTTATTTTCTCTATTTTAGTTTTGGCTAATTAGTGTTGGTTGATGATGCTTTTTGCTGTCTTGTCCAATTTATCTCAATGATTATGCCAATTTCCGTTTTTTGGTTGTTCCAAGATATAAATAATCTTTTTTAGGAACTGATATAAAGGATATTTATAGTTGCATCGTGAAGAAAGTTCACAGTTTTCGTTTCCTTGGCAATTGTGAAAATGGACTCCATTAAATATTATCTGCTTTTTGTCAAACCCCAAGATGCTGTTCTATGTGTCTATGATGTTTTGTTTAATGCAGTTGCTTATTAGTTGTTGGTAGACTATCTTATTCTTTTTTTTTCTCAAGTTACATGTAAAACATGCCCCCTAGCTATTTGTTTTAGCCTCAATGCTATTGTTGATTGTACTTAACCTTCAAAGAGGAACCATGTTAATCCACACATTTGGGGGGGTGGGGGGAGTATCCATGCTGTATTTCTGTTATAATTTCTAATCACTATTATAATTTTCTGAACAAAGGAATTGTTCTTAAGGCACTTGGGTGTCTGATACAATATTCTTTATTCTATATTTATTAGGTAACAAAATGATGATAGAGGAGACAAAGCGAAGTCTCCATGATGCACTTTGTGTGGCTAGGAATCTCATTCGCAACAATTCTATTGTATATGGCGGTGGATCAGCCGAAATTTCTTGTTCAATTGCTGTTGACACAGCTGCAGACAGATACCCAGGTGTTGAGCAGGTAACTGCACATATGTCTGTGAATTTACACTTTCTTCTTTCATATGATGAATTTGTATTGATTGTTATTTTTATATATGCAGTATGCTATCAGGGCCTTTGGAGAAGCTTTAGATTCTATTCCAATGGCCCTTGCGGAGAATAGTGGTTTGCAGCCTATTGAGACTCTATCAGCTGTTAAATCTCAGCAAATTAAAGTAATGGGATAAAAGTGCTATTTCCGTCAATTTTAGTTCTTCCCTCCCTCCCTCTCTGGTTTCTGTATTTATCTATCTCATGTACACTACTACCTAGTGTTGTTTAAATTTTAATGCATCTACGCATGATGGTATTGATTTTTAGTTTAACTTCGTTATACAGGAGAACAATCCATATCATGGAATTGATTGCAATGATGTTGGCACTAATGACATGCGTGAGCAAAATGTTTTTGAGACTCTTATTGGGAAGCAGCAGCAGATCCTGCTGGCAACACAAGTTGTCAAGATGATTTTAAAGATTGACGATGTAATCTCCCCATCTGAATACTGAAGTCTGGCGAGGTTCTTTTCGTAGCTCTGGTTCAACAAAATTGAACTTCGATGTTTGTGGCTTGGTGTGGCTTACGGTTAAGGACAATGATGGAATCTGTATTAGAAATTTTGATAATTTTTTGTGGTTTATTTGATCTCTGTTATGATTACACTTTTATGGGAAGTGTGGTAGTTGGTTTTGTCTGTCACACTATTTGATAAATAGTTAATGCTTTCCTTATCTATGTAGTTTATTTGAATGTTGGTTGGAAAACAATGTAAAATCTCAGGATTATTTGGGGATGAATTTTAGTGAAATTTCCTTGTTTATTTTTGCCTTGCGAAAAAACCATAGAACATGTCTGTATTTAGGACACTGCAATGGTTTTTTTTTTTTTTTTTTTTTCTGAGAAAATGTACAGTGCATTCATGAAATATATGCACCAAGGGGGTAAAACTCATGTACAAAAGATCTTTACATGTTAATCAAACAATCAATAAGGTTATCTACATTTTCCATGGAATGCAAAGCATTACCTGTCAATGTTTGCTAGTATCTTGCTTTAACCTTATTAACGATATTTTCTACCCCTCAAAACGCTCTCCTATTATTTTCTTTCTATGCCACTCAAAACATAGTTAGGTGGATAACAATGTTCGTGCTGATGCCTAACAACTCATATGATGTATACCAGAAATGATGCACTAGGGGACATTGTAGTAAGATATGATCACAAGTCTCTTCCACTCTCTTACAGAGATGACACTTGTTCACCAAAATTTTTCCTCTTGTTGATGGTCAAAATACATCAACAATCTACTTCCCAGCAAAGAAACCAATTATTGGGGGCATTCACTCTCCATATCAACCGGAAAGGGAACTTGTTCTGTACTGCTTCATTCTTGATAAGATATAAAATGACCCTAACCCAACTTAAAAAGTCCTGCTGGTCGCAATGTTAAGATGATTATCTCCTCATAGTGTTGTTTTGACTAGGTGTCAAGCATGATGAATTGGGGAGGCACAGGCTGGCTCGTAAGTACGCTAATTATGTATTCAGACAGATAGCTGAAAGTGATAAACCAAGCCTGCCCCGTAAGAGTTGCCTCATGCTAGAGTTTGTCAAGTTTGTTAGTATGTGGGAGGGTTGCAATTATTAAGTTGATTGCACTTGACATTAGTAGTTGGATTTAATTTGACATATGCTTGTCGTTTTAGACTTTGAGATGGCCACGCCCTAATTCCGAAACATGCAGCTGGGAGCCACAGCCCAATGAAGGACAGTGGCCCTCTCTGTCCCTTTTAATAATGTGGAAATTCTATTACAAGCTTCCCATTTCTTTAATCTTTTTGTATTTTAGGTGTTGATGGGTTTGATAATAGGTGAGGGACTCAATTATAGGAAGAAAAAGAGGATTCTTTGTATGTAAAAAAAGATTTCCCTGCTCTTTTCATCATGTTGTCTCTTCAACCATTCTTATCTTACAGCTGTACTCATGAGATGCTCTTGAATGGATTATGTAATCAGCTAGTCCTCCATTAACATGATGAGGATTAGCATGACAGTAATTAATCAAACCCATGATTTAGCTTTATGGCTAATTCTCTCTTTTGCTTAGTTGTTTGTTTTAAGGGACAATTTACTATGCTTGCTTCCCTTGTTAATTTCCATTTTTATTTTGATTTAGAGACTAATAATGGATCATCAATAAAGAATGAAGAATGTTCACACGGTAAATTGTGTGTGAAACCAAGTTTGAAAAGAGAGTAAGTGTATAGTGACAAGAGGTATTAATAGAAAACCAAGTTGCCGACGTTGTAAGAGGCATTTATGAATGGGATGGAGGCAAGCAGGGGTGTTGTAGATCATGAGGGAGTGATGAAGATTCATTAATGGCGGCAAGAGGATGAAGTTGTCAGAGACAGGAGGTTTCATTTTTCAAAAAATGAATAGAACGCATTGCATTGGCTGTCTCATATCTCTGAATTATATATAGCTATTTACCACTCAAACCCATTTTCAAGCAGAGATCTATCCACTTTTGTCAAGCAGACAAAACATGTAGCCGAATTAAATTTCTTATCTTTACTATGGCAGAAGCAAAGAATTAGAAAGCATTTTGTATTGAAGTTGAAAAACCACCCATGACCCCATGTGAACAAAAGTCACCTCTGACAAGAACAAAGCAGGAGTATAGATGAATGTGATGTATTAAGTTCAGGTCATATTGAGCATTAAATATAATTAATTCACTACTCATCAACACTTGCTTCTTCTGAGCCCCACTAATGGTGCCCTCTAAGAAACAGAGGAGACATAGGGTTGTACAAATTAAAATAAAGTTGAAAATGAGGAATTACTTTACAGAAACCTGAATCCTCCTCCTAAAATGAAAGGGTAAAATCCCTTAATAGTTATATTTATGTATAATGATGGGTGGTGTTTTATTCATTGTGTGTTTTAGTTAAATTTAACAGCGCGAGCCTTTCCAGCATTTAAGCGCACCAGCCCCTGCTGTAATGGAGGTGACTAGTGAAGAGGATCTGGCACTGAGACTCGAAGCTTTTGCATAGCTTGAAGATGCTCCTGCCCCAGATGGCGTGAAAAACGCACCGTTTAACATCAAGTCTCCCTCTGACCTCCAATTCCACTTCTTCCATTTACTCTGTGACGTATTCTCCCTCTTTGTCACCTGAAATATAATCATTACTATATTAATTCAAAACCCAGAAATTTAAACTTTAAACTCTTTATTGCATTTGGTTAACCTCTTTGCTGTTCTGGTTATTGGGAGCAAGAAACCTATTCCCTTGGCTGTTAATTGTGGGAGCAGCACTCCCTCCAATGGCGTACATTAACCAATGCGTATAGTCATTGTTCACCACATGGAAATACCCATGTCTGCATCTGCATTTTTACATATAATTCAATTATGGGTTTGTAATTAATTAATTAACTAATTAATTGACTAAGTTAAATTAAAAAACTTACCTGGGTATTCTTTGAACAAGACCTTCACCGAAATGGTTAAAAGCAATTGTGACCTGCATGTTCTTATCTTGGGTATATGAATCACTATGACCCAAAAGCATGACCTTGTTATGATGAGTCATATAATTATTAGATATAGTGATAGCCGTTGATCCATGAATAGCATCAATCAACCCGTCGTTACAATTCGACAGAGAACAGTGATCTACCCAAACATGACTCCCTCCAAATATCGACACTCCATCACCGTCCGATATAGTCCTCCACCCGTAATGCGATGGGGAGTCCCGCACGTAAGCATTCCCTCCTCGCTTACAATCATGTATGTTTATCCCATGAATGATGATATTAGTCACGTACTGGATGGTGATGCATGGTCCGCCGGCGATATGGACACTGGCTCCGCGCCCGTCGATCGTCTTAAACGAGTTCATTAGCAGCTCCTGCTTCAGCTTTATCACCATGTCGCGTTTGAAGATGATCCAGAGCGGCTCGTCTTGGATGACAGCGTGACGGAGAGTCCCTGGTTTTGGGTTAACCGGGTCGGAGTCACTCGGGTCAGTCACTACATAAATCTTTCCATCTCGTCCTCCAATGGCGTGTTTCCCGAACCCAATGCCGCAATCAGCCAAGCGCTTCCGGTTCTTCTCCCAGTTTGTGTCGCACCGCCAGCAATCGTCAATCGGGTTGCCGGTTACGCATGATAAAAAACCAAGATTCCTCCTCGATGCATTGATGCTTCTGTTTTAATCAAGAAATAATGTTAGCGTAACTAAAGTATTTATTGATCAAATGAATAGAATGAGGGAAGAGTGATACCCACTCTTGTACTTGTTGTACTACCAGTTCCGGATCTTGAACGGCTGAAGATGAAGAAACCAAAGTTGGAGCTAAAACAAGAAGGGTAATGAGAAAATTGAATGGGATCTCCATTTTTGGTTGAGTTTAGGCGGGATTTGAAGACAAAGTTGGTGAATTGTATGATAATCCAAAGTGGGTTTTTATAAAAGGAAGGAAGATGATAAAATAATATTATTAGTATTATATATATATATTGAAAATAGATAGTTTTAATGGGTCCGGTTTTGGTAGTTTTGAGCCGTTAGCTGAGCTCTTCTGACAGATGAATTAAGATTCATTAACCAGTATCTATGTTAGGTTAAACTTTGAAGCTGGTGCCCATTTAAATTTTATACATTTTAACCTTAATTTTATTTACTGATTACCCTTTTTGAAAAAAGACGTGAATTATTACGTATAAAAATTTATATTAGCCGTAGGAGATGATGAGTGGCATTTACTGTTACAAGAAGTGATTAACTAACTACACCGACACTTGACAAAACGACAAATTCAATGTCGTTGTATCAATCATAATCAAATGAAACTATTTAATTTTTGTTTCACATCACAACTTTTTCCAATTAACTCCATACAAACAATGCCTACATACCCCCCTTCATGTTTCTCTATTTCCTTCCTTTTTGTATTTGTGCATTATACACATATAACAACAAATTCAAGGACGATTTCTATTATGGGTAATTTTCTTATTTTTAATTTTGAAATACCCATTTTTTTTAAAAAAATAATTTTGAAGAAAAAAAAAAAGAAAGAAAATTAAATGATGTCATGCAATGCGTACCACCCAAAATTTATTAATTTATGGAATTATTTATTTGTTTTCAGACTATGGAATAGTATTTCTTAATTTGTAACGTTTCCAATTCTTTATGATTTGACTTTCTTTCTTTTTTTTTTTTTTTGTAAATTCTATGGAATAATCGCCGTACAAGATGATGAGTAAGAAGCAAATCAATAGGGCACATGCTGGTACCATTATAATTATTAGTCGACACATTAATTATTACGTATTTTAATTTATTAATTAGGCGAATAATCTAATTCCTTACGTATTACTACGTACTTATCAAGCGTATAAATTAAATAGATCAATGTCCCCAATTTGTGCGTGGATTCTTTTCACATTTATACCCTTTTGATGCTTAGCTCCTAATTCACCAATTATTGTTCTTCAAACAAATTTATTTTTAAAATTTTCATTAATTTTATTATCTTAAATTTTCATATAAAATTATATTAATCAACGTCAGATCTTTTAATGTTAAAATTAATTCTATGAAGATGGCAATCATACATTAAAATTTTTAAATTAAATTTTTTTTATGTAGTTTCTTCAAAATACCTGTTAATTTCTAATTATTATTAATGAAATTTTGATTTAAATAATTTCTAAAAAAATATAACCTTTTAACCTATTACTAACATGCTATATATGTTAGCACATTTTTTTTTTTAAAAAATATTATTTTTATTTTTATTTAAAATTTAAAACTAATTTTTCTTTTTTTTTTCTTGCATTTGATAAAATTTTTATTTTCTAACAATGAAAACAAAATTAATAATCTTGGTTGAATCATTACGTTTAAATTTAAATAAATAAATAAATAAATTTTAATGTTCTTCATTTTATTTTATAAATATATTATGCACCGATAATAATTAGTTTAATTTAATTTAATAAAATAATTTATTTTATATTAATGAGGTCATCATGATCAAATTTAAAATTTTTCTAATAAATTATGATATATCCGGACCCAAAACAAATTCACCAAAAAATTAGAAGCTCACATGGGAAATCCGTACTACCCGTCAAGCTGCTGACATGGCAATCTTGTTGGCTTGGAATGTCACGTGTCCTCATGTGCGTTTTGTTGCCCTACAGCTAAAAGTGGACCTTGCATTTCCGGAATCAATTCTCAGCCGTTTGATCTCGTAATCCTTAAGTCAATGTGGGATGGTTCACAGCCGTCGATTAATGAGAAGTGCTTCTAACATCCTCTTGCCACGTGGCATTTCAAAAAGGGCCACTATCATTTTCCGGGAGTATTATGATTGTAACATGGTCTTGCAAGTAAAAGTGATCACAGGCCCCATACTTTATTGGATAAACATAACCGCACATTCAAACATTTTTCAATATTTATTACAAATAATTTTTAAATCAATAATTTTTTTTTTTTAAAAAAAAAAACTGAAACAAGTAATTTTATGCACTATTTGTATTACATAAAATTAATAATTAATCCATCTCACATTAATATATATATATATTAAAATAAATCATCAAAATATAAAAAATAAATTATATTATTTTGTATTTACTTAAAAAATTAAGGGAATTGGTTACTCGGTTAATTATATTTATTTTTCATGTGCAATTAGGTGTCTAATTGTTACAAAAATTAAAAAAAAAAAAAGAATCATTTAAAAAAATACATGAGGCAATAGATAATGAGAGATCCAACACTAATCAAACAATAACCAAATACGTGTTATCCATTATCTAAGCAAACTCAATAGCTTCATAATGACATGAATTTATTTTTGCATGATATAGTCAAATTCATTGTCCTTGCCAATTAGGCTTTTAGCTTGTATCCATAGTCTTTCTTGTATGGAAGTCAGCACGACTTTTTCACAAGTACAAAAATGATTTTTCGTTAAAATATTAAGTGAACATTTGAGATAACTATAATTTATATCGTGAGTTCTAAGTTACTATTAAAAGAGTTGTTAATTGAAAATACTTTTGATCAAAGTTGTTTAATATTAAGCATAAATAATTACAAAAAGTATTGTTACTTTATAAAAACTAAAACTCTATTTGATGAGCTGCTGATTGCTCGAGTGTGGGAAGGCTAGAAGAGGTGGACGACTAAAATGTATTGTTTTAGAAGATATGAAGGATATATATATATATATATATATATATATATCAAAGATATATGTGTAATTATGTATTTTAATTGAGTGTAATTTTAAGATTTTAAATTTAAATTTTTAATAAAATTTAAAATTATTTTTTAAAAGTTCTACATTATAGCTTTTAGCTTGAAATATATCAAAGTAGATTTTAATTTTTTTTAATTGTCACTAAAAGTTCGTTACATTTTATCCATTTGATTGTAAAAATACATTTAAAACAAAAAAACTACTATTAAAAGTTGCACCAAAAATACCTTAAATACCAGAG